CTCATAAAAAATAGTGGCGGCATTTTTTACCAGAAACGCCTTAAATAATTTCGCTAAAAAATTGTAAATGATTTATTAAAGGCGTTTTTTTGTCAAAAACGCCTTCAATAAATCTTCTTGTCAATAAATTTACGAAAAATGAAGTAGCGTTGTTAGTTAGAGCATACGATTGTTAATCATAATGCCTTCAATAATCCCTTGAAAAATCTAAAAAATGCTAAAGGGAGGGATCAAACTTACGACCTTATGATTAAAGATCATATGCTCTAACCGTCAGTACTATTCTATTTTTGGTAGATTTATTGATAAGGAGATTTATTGAAGGCGTTTTTGACAAAAAATACTTTCAATAATCTTCTACAATTTTTTAAGGGAATTATTGAAGACGTTTCTGATAGAAAACACCTTTAATAATCACTTTTATTTTTTATGAGTAGATTATTTAAGGTATTTTTTACCTGAAAAGCCTTCAATAATTTCCTATCTATTTTTTATGAAGGAATTATTTAAGGCGTTTTTTGTAAAAAAAAACACCTTCAATAATCATTCCAATTTTTTAGGAAAGGATTATTCAAGGTATTTTAGTCAATAAACGCCATTAATTTGTCTTTAATAGTGTTTATAAATACAAACATCACCATTTGAATATTTAGTGACATTTTTAAAAAAAAAAAAAAACCTTAAGTTTTATAGAAACACGAAAGCTAGCGGTATTTTTAAGTGAAACACCACTACAAAATCGTTATAAAACCGTCACTAATCTTTCATTTTCTTGTAGTAACCAAAAAATAACACATGATTAATTAATATCATTTTTAAATAGATGCTATGAGAGTATTAATCTTTTTTACGCATAACTATACTCCTAAATCCAACTCTATTTTCAAAAACCAAATATATTTTTGATAAACCTTAAATTCAATTTTTATTTTATTAAAAAGATAATCATTTTAAATGACTAATCATACCTAACAAAAATATTGATGATAACTCTTTGTTTTTTTCAATTTTTAAATTTTTACATCTTGTAATCTAATTCACAGATCTGTACATTGCTATAAATTATATTATAATAATTATAACCAATTATAATATGAGAAGTATTTTTATAATTATAATAAGAGGATATTTTTATAATTACGATAAAAAAATATTATAATAATTTTTTAAAAAAATTATTAATTTAAAAAACAAAAATACAAAAATGCAAAAAAAGCCAATAAAATTGCGGTACATGGCACGCTATAAGCAAAGCTCTGTTCATCCTTATATCTACGGCATTTATATAAAGGATTTACATCGGTTGATTATATAGTTAGTAAAGCGTGTTGAAATTTTCCAACTCCTGCAAAATCAGGTTGGACGGGATAATAAATTAATAGACAAAAGAAACTACACAATTACATTTGTTTTTGGAATGGGCCATGCATGAAATAAATGAACCTGAGAAGATTTGTTCCCATTTAGAAAAAAAAAAAAATTTTCCATATTTCTTTAACAAAGTTCTTTTCATAAGGAATTAAAAAGAACTAAAAGAAATTTCCATGTAGGTTCTACCTTGACTGCATGACATTTCCCTGTCTTTGATTTGGTTTTCTGCTTTTTTTTTTTCAACGAGAGGACAAATGGAATATGACGCCTTTACGCGTACGTAGAATTAGAGGCGTTCATAGACTAGAATCAATCCGGTCTATTGGACACAATCCTTAATTTTTTAAAAATATATTAAATTTTAAAAAACTATGAAAATATTAATATTATAATTTTTAAATCAAATTAAATTAACAAAATATTTTTTAATAATTTAATATTTCGAATTCTAAACTAAAAAATTCTTACCTAATACTCCATCGAGTCAAACTTGACTCACGAACCAAACAAATAATTTCATCCGTGTAGAAATTTACTTGAAATAGTTGTCCATATAGTTGTACCGCTAAATATTTTGCATAATATTTTAATAAACAAAATTAATAAATTAAATTTTATATTTTATAAATTTAAAGTCGGTTATATAAAAAATAAAAAAAAATATGTTAAATCATAAATTTTTAATTTTTTTACATAATATTTTAATAAAATTAAAAACATAAAGTGACAAAAATTACACTCAATTTAAAAATAATCATAAACGTGATCTATTTATTAATATAAATAAATATATAATATAAAAATAAATATATAATAATTAGGAAATATTGATTATGAAATTATTTTCCAAGTGAGTTTCCAAGAAATTGGTATGGGAGAATGACAACTGTATCTATTTCTTGTCACAACATTCACGATTTTATTAGGATTGGGACTATGGGGTTTAACATAAAAAGTGAAATCAGCCGAATTTAATTAATTTTCTTATACTTTAAGTTATAATAATTAAATTTTGAATATAAAATTTTCAATTCTAAAATCGTTTTTATTATTATTGAATTAACATGTCATGGGTAAATTTAATTAATTTTTTATTATATTATAATTATAATCAAGCATTACATTCTTATAATTATAATCAATTGAATAATAAATTATTACATTATAATCAAATTATGATTACTAAATAATCAATTAACAAATTATAACATAATTAAACAACTAAATAAGATTTAAACGTAAGACCTTAAATTTTAAAATCTCTTTCTTGCCATTCAACCAATTTCTCATTGAAAATTTAATTAATAAAAAATTAGATATTGTTTGGCAAAATTTTAAATAAAAAAGACAAACCAATAAAACTCATTTTAAGCATTGTTATTTTCCAAACAAAATTGAATGAAAACGTGTACGTTTAAATCGTATATGAATACAATTAGGATAAGAGTGACACAAGCTATAACTGTTTTGTAAAAAGTAGCATTATCGTTTCCCCAAAGATTGGCCATAATAAAAAAAAAAAAAAAACCATCAATTTTGCTTTTGGATTTTACTAGGATCATATTGACAATGTCGTGTATTACCTTACAAAAAATTATTATATATAAATATAAATGGTTAAGGAATTTATGATTTATATTCTTTACATATCTTCGAAAATGCCCAATGCAGTACATATTCCGTACGTTCTCACTCGTCAATTTTTGGTGCCAAATTATTAATTGATTAATTCATTAATTTGATACCTCCATTTTGACATTTTCTTTTTGATGGTAATTATTAAAAATTAAAATTATTTTTATTAATAATTAAAAATATAAAACAAAGGAGCACCTTTATGGATTTTTTATAAAATTATGTTCATATATATATATATATATATATAAAATAAGCTTTTTATGTATCTGCTAACACTCATATGATTTGTTTGTAAAATATTTAACTTTTAATATCTAATATGATTTGTTTGTAAAATAAAAGGCTAAGGAGATGTCTAATATATTGTGGCTACTCTTTGAATAAGAAACCATACGTTAATCAACTATGTTAAATGTTCGGGTGTCGTCAAATTAAGACTTAAAATAACATTGTTTGGTTGATTTTCATGTTTGGCAAGGATCCAGTTGTAGTGGGAATGGAATGTAGCCTCAAGTCTTTTCCTGGAGAAAAACAGAAGGGGTTGTTTCACATATATGCAAGTGACTCTTAATTTCTTTTTTGGTGTGATATTGATTCAAGAAAATGGCAATCAGTTTACTTTTCTTTGCCTTCAAAAAATAAAAATGGATCCGTTTGCCTTTAATTAATCACACTTTTATTTATATGCCAACAGCACGACCAAGAACATGATTCTTTTCATCACCCATCAGTTCTATAACATGCAAAAAAAAAAAAAAAAAAACATTATGAAAGCTTTGAATTATAAAAATAAATTACACATAAATCTCAATAGGAAAGTCATTCTCTTGTTTACAATTACATATATTCTTAAAAGTATATATTATTTACTTTAATGTTAAATCTTTCAAAAAAATTATTTATAAGTATTGAAATTAGAACTATTGTTCTCTTAAACATTTATTAATTTAGTATCAAGCTAAGCACATGATTTCGATACGTATTTAATATCAAATTGAATTCTCAATAATAAAATCACTCCTTTTATGGGACTAGTAGATTATACTGTCTGACCCTATCGAACCGATTTTCGATTCTTCTACATAATCTCCGATCCCATTATTAAAATAGTAAGTAGCAACGATAGCTTGTACATTTAGTGTACTATTAATCATCCAGAAGTGTTCTCAACTGCTCCATATTCCCAAAATAGGATAAAATAAGGATGCCAGAGAACAATTGACACTGAGAGACGGTAATTTCTTATTTCTCAACGACTCCATATTCTAAAAATAGGATAAAATAAGGAAGCAAATGAATAATTGGTATTGAGAGACAGTAATTTCTTAATTATTTTCTCACTTTTTTGTATGCATACGTAACACTATTTTTAAACTCCATTGTAGAAAAGGTTGGGATTCGGGACCACAGCCTTTATCCAAGCGAACAATTATAATTGAGTTCATGTAATAATCCAAAAAAAAAATATATTGAGATAATATTGTAAATTAATTTGCACCACATATGGCATTCACTGTATGTACAGAAATGTTAGTTTGTAATCAGTAATTGTGGGTTTTTACTTTCTCTAAAAGAGATGTCTATATGCTTCATCCATGGGGACATGTCCTATTACCAAATATTAATCATGCAATATAAATTCCTAATTCCATGTTCTGATTGATATATGGTGGATTATAGATATATGACAAATAATTTTTTTATTAAAGAAATCATAGTACAAAGATTAAAAAAATTATAAATATTTAAATTTATATTTTAAAAGATAATTGCAGAAATCAATCCAACCCCATGTACATGGCATCACCGTCTGTAATAAATTGGCATCTTTCATGAGAGATGGTTGATCAATAATGGAGAGGAAATATCCAAGCAAAAAAAGTGAAGGAGAGAGTTAATGTTGACAACGACAACGGAAAAGAAGGAAGACTTGCAAACGAGTTGACTTGAAAAAAATATATATATAGAGTATATCCCATTGGATTCCTTACATGTGAATTCTTTCACATTCATAAAACTGGCCAGTTCCTAGTTTTATTCATTCACCAAATTTACTTCTTCATCTCACAGCTTCTCTTCCTCCAGAGCATTACCGTTGAAGAAACAGGTTAGTCATGTCTGGTCATGAAGCTGGAAACTTTTTCTTAATTTTAATAATAATAAAATTGATTCTGACATGAAAAAGAGCTCCCAGTTCCTGGGTTTTTGGAACTTGCTCAGCTTGTGCTAGTTTCTGTTCGACATATTCCAGGACCACTTTAGGAACTGGAATTAGCACGAACTGATGGTGGTAGGGCAGGAATTCCAGAAAAGGCAACATACTAACACAGAACTCCCTCACTTTAACTTGCTGCCTCCATTTTCCCTTTTGTTATTATTATTATGATTTACACTTTTAACTTAGTAGGAGCCTTTTCTTGAGTTTGATTTACGCTTTTATGTTTAACTCTTTTCCATCTCTACTGTTGTTTTGTGTCCAAAACTCCAAATAGATGGTATAGCACAAGGAGAAAAGAAAATTTTGTTTCTGGCTTTCTGCAACTACTTTTTTTTCTTTGATTTTTATGGCATTGAGATTAATACAAGAATTCGAGGATTTCCTGGTAATTAAGCTCTGGTTGCGAAGGCCCTTCTTATTACTATGGTTGAATTTGCTTATTTTTCCCTGGTAAGAAGTTCAAGGAAAAGGAGGGTTTCCCATTTTTGTTTCTTCTTATGTGGTTTGGGTGAAGGTGGGTGGGGGTGGGTGAGGCTGTCTGGTTTTGCATAGTGGTTCAGTTCATGAGCATGCAACAGTACACACATGAGAAGAAAATTGGGAACTGGGTCTTAAGATTTCAAAATTTTTTACCCCAAATTCATTGATCTTCTGGAATTGCAAAGCGGCCCAATAAGACCTCATGAGTCATGATTTCATCATTCTCTTCTCAAATTTGTTATTCATTTAGTCATTTTCGGAGTTAGTCCTAATAGCAATTTTTTTCATCAAGCTGTCTTGGCCTGGAATAGATAGTGATATTTGAAGACTCGTTGACTAAAAATTTTTGGTTAGAAGATTATTATTATTGGGTAATACTAGTTTTTTAGCACCGATGTGGGGTTTAGTTCACCCACCCTTCTTCCCATGTATTAATCAAGTCAAAAATAAACAAGTAAGGTTTTTAAACAATAAATTCCATGAGTTTATTGGCCAAAAAAATTCCATGGGTTTGGTGATCTGAAATAATATAGTACTACCATGTAATTTCTCCTTTGGTACAGTAAAAATGTTTTAGTTATCGAGATAAAATTTGTGAAACTTGTAAAACTCTGCATAGCAGAAGTAAAAACAGGAATTCCAACATGTTTTCTCCTGTAATGGGCTATAACTAGGTACAATAGGCTGTGGGGTGAATTGAATGATTGCCCATGGAATCAGCACATTTTAAAAGGAGATCCAAAAAGATTCTCTGTCAATTGGATTTGTTTTTTTTCATGGGAAATCGATTTTAGATATAATTTATGATTTCCATCCATTATCAATTTCAGTTAATATCCCAATTGTTCTTTTTGCAGGATTGTGGAGGGAGTTTGATACTGTAATTTGGAATATCCAGCCATGGCTAGAGAACAGTTAGGAGTGCTTAATGCCCTCGATGCAGCCAAGACACAATGGTATCATTTCACTGCAATTGTAATTGCAGGGATGGGATTTTTCACTGATGCTTACGATCTGTTTTGCATCTCCTTAGTCACCAAATTACTAGGCCGTATATACTACCATCATGATCATGCACCAAAGCCAGGCACATTACCTCCAGGAGTAGCAGCTGCTGTCAATGGTGTCGCTTTTGTTGGCACTTTATCTGGCCAACTGTTTTTTGGGTGGCTTGGTGACAAATTGGGCCGGAAAAAGGTCTATGGTATAACTTTGCTGCTCATGGTTGTGTGCTCTATTGCCTCAGGGCTGTCATTTGGAAGCAGTCCAAAGGGTGTTATGGCTACCCTTTGTTTCTTCAGGTTCTGGCTTGGTTTTGGTATTGGTGGTGACTATCCTCTTTCAGCCACAATTATGTCTGAATATGCTAACAAAAAGACTCGTGGAGCATTTATCGCTGCAGTTTTTGCAATGCAAGGGTTTGGGATTTTGGGTGGTGGAATTGTGGCTCTTATTGTCTCTTCTTCCTTTGATCATGCATTCAAGGCGCCTGCCTACTCAGCCAATGCAGCAGCCTCCACAGTGCCTCAAGCTGACTATGTTTGGCGTATAATTTTGATGTTTGGTGCATTCCCTGCTGCTCTTACTTACTATTGGCGAATGAAGATGCCGGAAACTGCTCGATACACAGCCCTTATTGCCAAGAACGCAAAACAGGCTGCAGCAGACATGTCAAAAGTATTGAATGTGGATCTTCAAGCAGAAGAAGATAAGGTTATAAAGTTGGTAGTAAGTCAATCAAATTCCTTTGGCTTGTTCTCTAGGGAATTCTTGAAGCGCCATGGACTTCATTTGCTTGGAACTACTTCCACTTGGTTCTTGTTGGACATTGCATTTTACAGCCAAAATCTATTCCAAAAGGACATCTTCAGTGCAATTGGATGGATTCCCCCAGCCGAAAAAATGAATGCGATGCATGAGGTCTACAAGATTGCAAGAGCACAAACATTAATAGCCCTATGCAGTACGGTTCCAGGGTATTGGTTCACGGTGGCTTTCATTGATGTCATCGGAAGATTTGCTATTCAATTGATGGGTTTCTTCTTCATGACAGTTTTCATGTTTGCTCTTGCCATACCATACCATCACTGGACCTTGAAACCCAACAGAATTGGTTTTGTAATAATGTACTCCCTAACCTTCTTCTTTGCCAATTTTGGACCCAATGCTACAACATTTGTTGTGCCAGCTGAGATCTTCCCTGCAAGACTAAGGTCAACCTGTCATGGTATATCAGCTGCAGCTGGGAAAGCTGGTGCAATTGTGGGTGCATTTGGGTTCTTATATGCTGCTCAAAACAGAGATCCAAAGAAGACAGATGCAGGCTACCCACCAGGCATTGGAGTCAGATACTCGCTTATTATGCTTGGGGTCATCAATTTCTTTGGAATGCTATTTACTCTCTTGGTGCCTGAATCAAAGGGTAAATCACTTGAAGAGTTAACAGGTGAGAATGAGGATGAAGGTGGTGACACAGAACTACAAACTGGTCCTGCTAGAACTGTTCCTGTGTGATTTTTACACTAATTGCAGAAGTTCTTATCAAGTCATACGGACTTTCATAGTGACTTTTAACTTCTTGTTGGTTTTACGAATTTACTGTTTGAGAAAGATGCTATAATCTATATGTATACTTGGTATTAAATTTTTTTTCATTTTGTACTATATTTTGTTTATCTGTCCTACTGTATTTTCAAATAAATATATGTCCTTGTTTGGCGATTACTAATAGCTCAATCTGCATCCAAATTCAAGAGCCACTTTCATTTTATTGTATTCATAAAGCACAGTCCTGAGTGAGCATTATGCAACTGAACATGCAAAAACACTTCTTTTAATTCCCTATTTCTTTTATTAACCAACATTAAGTTTTTCCTATCAGAGACAAAGTAATACTATATCATTGAACCCCCAAAACAAATGAAAGAGAGAAACATCTAGAAAAGGTGAGCCTTATCACATATAAGAAGACCCTCTGTCTATAAATTCTGCCTTATCACATATAAGAAGACCCTCTGTCTATAAATTCTTTCTTTCTTTTATTCCTGTAAAGCCTATATACTTAAACTGTAATTTTTACTATTTTTTTAAAGCTAATTTTTATTATCTTTTAGTCATTGTTCAAAATAGAATCTATTAATTTTATAACTTAAAAATTTTAAGTTTATTTTTTTTTTTTTTTTACATATCAAATTTTGTTTAGATTTAATTTTCTCTTCAGTTATCTTAAATGCGCACTTCCTTATGGTGCATTTAAAATTTTATCTATTTCTATATAACGAATCAGTACATTCAAATTTTTATTTTTTGTATAATTTAAATAATTATTTATACCTCATAAGTGATTAACTCGGTTAATAAGATAAAACAATCTTATCCATGTTGAGAAATAAATTTTTAAAATCTATGAAAAAAAATTAAATTCAAATAAATATAAAAATATCTTTAATCGTACTAAAATAAATAAAAATAAATCCTCATTAGTAAAATATTACGTGTATGAATTGAAAGATAAATTAAGATTAAAGTTGACAGATCAATATGATCCAATCAATTTTAATTTGACTTAGCATCATGAGATAATTTTTTTTTTAAATCAAGTTTTGAGTCAAATCGAATTCGAGTTAATTTGATCCAATCTAATATTATATAAAAATTATATTTTTTAATTTTATTTATATATATTTATATAATTATATATTTATATATTTTATATTTAAAAAATAATAATTTATTAATTTCGAGTCGAATCAAATAAGATATAATTTATATAATATCAAATCGAATATGAATATAAAAAATAAAAAAATTTGAATCAGATCAAATTTAAATTTTTTAATTATAAAATCAGATCAAATGAATAAAAATTTATTTCGATAGTTGTCGATAGTAATATTTAAGATTGAAAAAGTGAAGTTAAAAAACGAAAAAAATGAATTGATTAAAGTTCAATCAGAAGCAATTATTTCTTTTCTATTTGATCATGATTACTGTACTTTCAACTTGATTTTTTTTATTATCATAACTTCCAACTTGAAGACCCCCACTGATCAACACAAAATTGCACTTTCGTTTTGCCGCATCCATTTTTTTTTATCTAAAATTGATAAAATAATTTATTTTTAATTATAATAAAGTATTTAATATAATATTTAAATTTAAAATTTTTTAATATGATATTTAACTTATAAATTTATTAATTAATTTGATATTAATTTTTAATATGATTAATTTTAATGTGATTTTGCTTGAATGTGATACTAATTTTAATATAACTAATCTTAAATAATAATATATATTATATAAATAATTTTTTAAATATTATATTAATTAATATATTTATAATTTAAATATTTTATTAAAATTTTTTAAAAATTAAATATTATGTTAAATATTTTTCTATAATTCATGACATATTAATAACATTAATTTTTATTAACTTATTAAAGTATTTTATTATTTTGAATTTGAATTTGAATTTTTTTAAGAAAAAAAAAAAAAAAACCCAAACTCAGTGTCCAAAGACTATTCAACTCTTGTTCTTCTCTCAAGCATAACGACAGGCGGCAACTTTTGACTTTCTTGGCATGGAACCAAACTAAATAATTTCTAAAGTATTCTCCGTCGAAATGGGTCCCCCAAAAATTATGACTCACTTTATTTGATATTTCATTGGATTTTTTAGACCACTGGAGATTGGGCCAAATCACAAAATTTCTTTTAACTAATTTTGTTAAAGAATTTCAATTTTTTTAATTCAAGGATAGAATAATTATTATTTTTTGTTATATTTATAATTATATATTATCAAATCACTTAATTTTTTATCTTTAATAAAAAATAATATTTTGTGTTTTATTATCCTTAGATTTATTAGTTATCAGATTACTTAATTTCTTACTTTTTTTTTCATAAAAAGTAAATCGTTTTTTATAAAATTACTATTATTTTATTATTCTTCATTTATTAGTTCTCAAATTACTTAATTTCTCACTCTTTTTAATAAAAAGAAGTATTAATGCATTTTATTATTCTTACATTTTATTTATATTTTTTTATCAAATTACTTAATTTTATTCTAAATAATAAAAATCATATTACAACTTATTGTTAATTTCTACATAATATTATAATTACACAATTTATTAATAGAAAATAGAAAATTGTATTATCACTTAATATTATTTTGTTTACATCTATTTATAAAAAATATTATCATTTTTGTTATATAAATAATGAAGGTAATTAACCACTCGGAAGCTTTTGCAAAGCTCACTAAAGGAGACCTTACCCTAGAACCACCCATATACTTCACAAGTTGCTTATATATAAACTTTGAATTTGATCAACTAATCGTCTTCAATTTTTTTATTTAGTGGTAAAAAAAGTTTTAAGAAGACACCGAGATTAAAGTTCGACCTCAGCCTCCCCTTTCTCTCTGTTGTAAGGCTTTGCTCTCTTTAAAAAGATAAAAAAAAATGATAAGCTAATTTATAGCAAAAAGGAAAATATATTAAAGTTAATAATAACAATTACATTTAAAAAAAGAAATATATTTTTTGGGTATATAAAGAAGTAATATTTTGATTATATTAAACAAATGCTTTTGACAATATAAAAGAGTCTTTTATTTTTTATGGATTTTATCATAATATTTAGAAAAAAAATTTTGTTTCTCTCTCTATTTTGGTTTTTTTTTTTTTTATTGTAGTTTTATGTGCCAAAAAAATAAATGGCTTTAAGAAAAGTCAACTATTTGGATTCGATTAGGGTGCTTGATTTTGTAATGCAATTCTTGTAGAATTTCATAATTACAGAAATTTTTACATGCCCTAGCATAAAGGAATATAGAATATGAATAGTTTTCTAATCCCCATGAATAGAATAATACCACAATCTTGTTTAAGGAATGTGCCCACTCTTCTTAATTTCCATCATTCTATCCTTTCAACCATTCAAAGCATACCAAGGGAAAAAGAAAAAAAAAAAAAAAAAAAAAACCCCTCTAGCATGTTAATTTAGGTGTGTTAATATAATGCTATGTTTATGTTGAGAAAAAAATAATTCATAATTTTCCAATACTAAAAAAATCATAATTTGATGTGAGAAACTAAATCATATAATTAATTCCATAAATTATTTAATTGTTTTGAATAATCAAATCGGTGTAAATTTACTTAAAATCATTTAAATGTAACAAGAAGGAAAAAAGAAGAAAATAAATTTTTTTAATCTAATAATTGAAGTTATAATTGTACATGTTATTTTCATAATTCAATCATTAAATTAATTTTTTTATTATATATGATAATTTATGTATTTGTATTTATTTATTTTGTGCATAAAACATATAAAACATAAAAATTATCATGTCATATTTCATATTCATACGTCAAATATAAAATATATATTTTTTATTTTTCAAATTCATATACATTTTTATTAAATTTTTAAATTTAATTATTTTTTTCTCTTATCATATCATTATATTTAAAATTGTCAAATTTATTTTATATAAAAGGAGAAGTTGGATTTTATCTGTGGCTTATTGCGTTAGGGGCATGAGCAACTCAGAGTTGACCGACGACTTGGATAGCTTAGAATTTAAAGTTATCCACATAAAAATGGTTAGGTTTGTTCACCAAGTGACACCCCATGTCCCCTTCATTGATTTCACTTTCTAACAAAAGACAAACCGAGTTGAAGAAGACTTTCACTACTAGTAGAATCGTAGACCACCAGAGTTGGGGCAAGAAGACGGAGACAAAGGCAGATATCGATTTATGCAGAGTTTGCAAACAAAATCACTTTTAAGATTCTATTTGTTTGGAAAAAATTATTTTAAAAAAATGCTTGTTTTTGACAGCTATCTCCACCTTCTAAAAACAATTTTAATTTTATGAAAAATAAATAATTGAAATTTCATTTTTACTTTTATTAAAATTCAAAGATTTATTCGAGCAACTTGCCAAAAAAAATTTATTGATTGTAATTATAATGAAATAAGGTTTTATAAATTTTAATTTTATGAAAAATTAAATGATTGAAAGTTCATTTTTATTTTTATTAAAATTCAAAGATTTATTTGAGCATCTTACCAAAAAAAAAGTGAATTTTTTATATGTAACGTACAACTAAGTTTAATTTATTTTAGATTCTTATTTAGTTAGAAAAATTGAATGGAGAAGTTAGCTAACAAATATTATAGACTTAAATTCTAGATTTAATTATTTATTTTATTGATTTTGATATTAATTATCTATGAGATAGAAACAAAGCAAATAAACTGAAAATCCAATCATGTTATAGTGACACATGTTTGATCAATAAGTCCTAATTCATAATGCTAATGAAAATAATTATAATAATTAAATAATATAATAAAATATATATATGACTTTTTTATATTTGAGATTATAAAAATTAAATCCTAATCACTGAAATTAAAAATTCAACACTACTAATAAATGCAATATTAAAACTTTATATGAAGTTTAAAAAAAAAAAAGAACAAAGAGATTTATTATTTATGATGAAAAAAGTTAAGGTGGTTACTGTTTTTTTGAAAAAAAAAAAAAGAAAAGCACCATTGTTGGCTAGAACTCATTAATTTATCAATATAATCCATAATATAAAAATTTTATAGCATAAATTAATTGTAAAAAAATCTTAGTGAAATAACATAGTACCAAAATAAAGTTACAAACAAAGTAATAAGTTAAATTAAATCTACTTCTTCCATCTCAATTTATTTGTCTTATATTGATGCTTACGGAATTTAAGAAAAAAATTTGATTTTAATATATTTAATATTAAATTTAAATTTTTTTTATAAAATTAAAGGTTTATAAATTTTAATGTTAAAAAATTAAAAAAATCATAAAATATAATTTTAAAATATAAAAAATGGGATAGAGGGAGTAAAGTTATATAACATAATTTTGGAATATCATATATAAAGAACATGGGATAAAGGGAGTAATAGTTATAGAAGTATTAGATCAATTGAATTATAAATGTATTGTTATCATTAATATTAATTTCTTCATAATAATTCGTTGATAGAATAGTAGATTATGCAAATAAAAATAGTATGAAAAAAGAATTAAGTACAAGTTAAGAAAAATAAAAAAGTCAATAATCTGAAAAAAAAAAAAAAAAAACCCTTTTAAGCCTACGCTGCTCAAAGAAAGAAGAAAACAAAAACAAGAAGGACAAAAATTCTAGTGGGAGTTGTACAGAGGGGCAAAATAGGAAATGCACTGTTATTTTAACAGTATATCCGTGAGTTTTAGACTGAACAATTTCAAATATAAAATAATAATATGATATAAAAATAATATAAAATTTTAATAAAAATTATAAATAAATTTAATAAAAATATATATTTTATATTTTTATATTGATATAAAATATAAT